GGGGAAGAAAAATATAGTGAAACATTTTTAGGTCCTTTGAATGTGATAGTTCTTCCTTCCCAAACTATTTGAATTTTCATAAGCAGTATTAAATGCCCATGCCAACAGTCATAATTACCTATACCGTCACTTACATATTGAGTTTTATATCAGTAGAGAAGGTGAATTACTTCTGTCTTCACATAGGAATATCCCATCAAAGAAAGCAAGGTGCTTTAAACTTATCTTGCTGCATGTGAATGCCATACAGGGACACCATCAAAATATCCACCAGAGTAAAGTAAAATGAGGTGAGCTACTGCTGCTACAGTTCCATGCTTTTGCAACATTTCAAATAGTGCTTCATTTCAGTCCACCCTTGAAAGACAGTATAGCACTAGAATCCAGGAATGAGCATCTATAGCATGTTTAATACATTACACATTTGCATGACTGAAGCTTTGTAACCCAATAATAGTATATGTTCTAGAAGGTTCAAATAGCTTAAGAACATAAAGTGGGTTGGCAAATAGCCACACTAGTTCTTTAAACACCAGAGCCAAGCCAAATAAAATTGTTAGACATTTAGTAAAGCCAAACATTCTTGCACAATAGGCTCATGTGCTTTGAGAAAAATGGGTATAGGTCATGTGCAAACCAGCTTTTCTCCTTGCGTTGTGTTGAACAGAAAACCTTAGTGTCCAAAAATGGTTCATACTGCCAACAACCAGTGTTAAATATTCTATTTTAAACTCTATTCCTGTAAAAAAAAACAAGGGATTTTTTAACATTTAAGGTTTAGGAAAAAAAAAGTTATTTTTTAAAACTATGCTGACAGTACGATAAAAACCAATTTAATTGGTAAAAAGGATTAAACTGAATAAGGTGATTAATATGCTTTTGTTTCCTTTTGCACTATATAGTAAAAAGAAGTTGAAAGAAACAATATTAACTCAGAAACTTCTTGCTTTTGTGCCAAAGAAAAAAAAAAAACAACAGAATCCTGTAAGGCACAAGCCTTCCCCTGCAAACCAGGAATAAACACATACAACTTTACTTACGGAGAGAATGGTCACTTCAATGATAAAGGTGCCAACTTTCAATATTCCTAAAGACTGATTGGCCATTGCTCTCTTTTTTTTTTCTTTGAAGCAAAGACAACAAATCTGGAGTTTGTGATTTGCAAGTATGGTAGTATAGGCCTGAGCCTAAGTTTAACTTTTCATTGTTTCAAGAGAGGCCAGAGGATACCCGTGTGTGTGAGAGGATGCATGTTGAGGTTTATCACTGTAGGCTTTATTACACACTGAGAAGAAAGCTCTGCAGAACAGCAAAGTAGATTCAACATCTGTCCTGCCCTTTCAAAATAAAAGAGAATGTTATCTCCACTGTGCTATACAGTGTTAAAAGAACATGACGTGCGTTCTGCCACAGACCTTGCATTTTTCAAAGACTTTGACAAAGCAAATTTTTATAAATGCCAAAGAATTAAGTATCGCTTACAAGCTAGTTCTGAAAACATTGGGAAATCGTACTAAGGCAACATTAACCTACTTCACAAACTAGCATGACATACTGTTGTCAGGAAGTACATGAAGCAGTTTCAGATAGTTCATGAATGAAAATAAAAGCATTTTTTACCCGTATCACCAGAGCAAATTTAAACAGACCAGTCTGAGTCATTACCCAGTAGGGCTTCTACAGATGTGGCGCACAAACATTTCTAGCATGCATCAAGACAAAATGTTACAGATTTTTTGTCTTTAAAGGTTGTACAGTATATGGGCTGAAGGCCTCTTCTTGTTTCTACTTTTCTTGTGTTATGTTCTCAGTGTCCTTGAATGGAATCATTTGGATCATGATCAGGATCTAGACTTTCCATTACAATGTATGAAGGAAAACTGATTAGAAAGTCTGAAGGATTTTTTTAAACTATAATTTAAAACCAACTTCACAATGTTATTCTGTAGTAGTCAGATGCTTAATATGCTAACTTATCATCTTGTAAAGACTTGCATTCAATCTCTGTCCATTATAAACCTTTTAAAATACGCTTTGTCTTGTCTTGCAATGGCATGAACATTTTCTTTCAAAGACGACAGAAACTCTGAAAGGATTCTAACTCGGTCATAGACGTATAGTTTTAGAAAGATGTCACTCCTAGCTGATATGAAATGAAAACTTAAGGTAATCTCTTCTTATTATCTAAAGCCTATGATGGACCTACATAGGCTAAGAAAAAACAGAATCACTGTTGCATGTCTGTGTGCAAGAAGGAGATTTCAAGTTAGAATTCGTGTGGTCAGAATCTAATGGACTGTGTGCAATATTGACAGCTGGGATAGATTGTCCTGGTCTTAGTTGGGAAAGCTGGGGGAAATACACGTGTCAGCTCTAAAATATAAAATAGCAAAATAAAAAAAAAATGGCAGGAAAAGATGTAGGATGTTTTTGATATAGGTTGAAGCAATGGAAGTTCATGGACTCAAAGATGGGAAGTGGTAGATAAAACGTTGTTGCAAACACCTTTGTTGCAAGCGGAAGTGAAGGTGAAGAAAATACAGACACGGCTCATCTCGCAATTCACTTTCAGCATTGGACCTGGAAGGAATTCTTTTCGCTTTGCCCTCTGTACCGAACGTGTGTTGCCCTCCGACAGTTGCACTGTTTTTCAATTCTGTCTTTAGATCCTGCTGATCTTAAAGGGAAACCAAACAGCTTTCTAGAGTTTATAAAATCGATGAGATCCTCAGGTCAGCATTTTAGAACTGACAGTAGTATATTTTCCTAACAAAACGAGTGCCCCTCCATATCCTTTCTATACAATTGTGTCATTAAGAAACTTATAAGCATCCATTTAATATACCGTTGTAAGAACCTGCCAATGGCCCATTTTAAAACCGCTTATGGCCAAGGCTCTCTCTAGAAAACAAATGCTGGTCAGTTTCCCTTTTAGTAAGGCACCTTATAGCTCAATTAACCTGCTTGTAAGTTTGCACCTCTGTGTATTTTGCACATGTTTATTCTAACTGAACATTTTGTTGTGTAGTACATTAATCTTCCCACTGGGGGTTGAATGTAATAAAAGAAAGAAAGTTTGAAATTGTATTTATACTGCAATTTATAAAGCATTAGTGCTCTCCGAAGTAACTGTGAGCTTCAAACAATTAAATAGACTGATACACTTTCTGCATGCTGTGTGCCTTCATTGTTTTTAAGGATACTTTACTTGATCAGTTCTTGAATGCAAATTGTATAGCTAGAAATATAGCATAGCTAAAGTTACAAAATAATGTTTATTTTTAATAAGACTATTTATACAGCCATTAACACTACTCACTTATCAAGCAATTCCATGCTATTTAACTTTTATTCTATTTAACTCTTCTTCCATGAATAAAAGATTATCATAAACTTAACTCATTCATTCAAAATAATTGAAACAAATATACTGTCTGTAATCAAGACAGATATTTTGTTGTTTTTTAGTGTTCACTGTTGACTATAACACACCAGGTTGAAAATTATTCCTAAGAGTTGCATTAGTTCAAAATGTCATTAAAACATACAGCGATTTCAGTTGCATATGAAATATATTTTAACATGGAATTTTCTTGTTTATTGACCTTTTTTATAATAGTATTCACGCATGATCACTTTTTGTTTGCCTGTGTTATTCTATTAAGCATGTGTGTGCTTTTCTGCATTGCTAAAAACGGTTATTTCTATTTAAATTTGAAGGTCGAGCATATCTGCAGCAGACTTCTCAGGCAGAAAATAAGAAATCTGAAAGAAATCTTAAACGAGCAAGATGGGACGAATAGCCTTCTCAGATTTGTTAATGTTTTTTTTTTTTGCGTTCTTTCGTAGAGTTTAGGTGTGGGTCTGGCGTCTGTCCACGGACGTAATTCGAATTTCTTAGTTTAAAAAGTGTACTAAGCACTTTAATCACTAGATGGCGGGAAGGTTCCATAAACAGAAACTCTTTGTCTACCGAAAAAGTCGCAAATGCAACAGAATAAATGTAAAAACAAATGGATATTCTCATTAATTAAAAAGAACTGTTGGCACGGGATGGCGTTACATTTATTAAATAGAGAAAATGAAAAAAAGAAGGTTGTCGTGAGAACATTTTATGATGGATCCCATCATACTACCAAATAATACCGTTATATTTTGAGAAACGTGGAGTGGTATTAAGACCTTAATCTCTAGATTCAGGTAATTATCTGTAAATAACTAACCCCTTTCAGTAACAACAACGACAACCACCAATAATACTACCACGACTACTACTAATAATAATCACTGTTGTATGGATAGTTTTATTATCTGTTTTTATTTATATTTAACATTTATAGCTCACCTCTATGTAATGTTCGTTGGACACATTGACAAAGCCACAATTATCTATCCAGTTCACCCAACACGCAACACTGGCTGACTAAAAAAAGACGAACTGGTAACATTTCCTCCCATTCCTGTGATTGGCTGAAAGTTCCCTGGGCTTTTTGCTGACTTTAGATTGGCTATATAAACCCATGCTCAGATTTTATTTTTAACAAATGCCATAACCTTTTGGATCTAATGTACAATATGGAATCGCTACGAAATAATACGAACATCCGCTAAAAGTCCCGCCTAACTGGATTTTTCCCCCTCTATTCAATCTTGATATTCAGTTTTTGCAGTTATTACCGCTATTTCATTATTCGTATTTTCGGACACACAGAAATATCACAGAATTTAATTTTCGTGTTTTTTTTTTTTTGCTTTCTTGTTTGCGGCACTCATCATGGCTAACACCTGCCTGCAGTTCTGCGGGTTTGTGGTCAGCTGTCTGGGCTGGATTGGGATCATTGTTGCTACAGCCACCAATGACTGGATCTTCACCTGCAAGTACGCCGTCACCACCTGTAAGAGGATGGACGAATTGGGCTCCAGAGGCTTGTGGGCGGACTGTGTCATTTCTACTGCGCTCTATCACTGCATTGCACTCACCAACATTCCTTCCCTGCCAGGTGAGATTGTGGCATTTCAGTTACATCAAACCATTATATTGGTGTTTTTTTTTTCCTTTAATTATTTAAATGATCACAGTGCGTCTGCCCCACCTCCGTGCTCCAATAATGAATTTGACGTTCGTCCAGTGGTATTCCAGTGCAATATATTCGGACCACTTTCACAAATGCAAGAGTAACAACATACTGTAGTATCCTGTCGCTGTGAATGTCTCCCCCCGTCAGTGCAGTATTAAAGTACTTGGACTAGTTGTCCAGTTTTAGAATAGGGGAGAGGAATCCAACAGTGAAAATATTACTTTAAAAAATGTAATCCTTAATCCTAGTTATGTCTCATAATGCTCCATTATCCCTTGGACTGTAGTACAGAATAAAATTAGGCATGCTTTTCATTTTTTTTTAATAATATTGAGGCTTTCGCAGAGGTTTTATCACATAAAATTGTCTAGACAATGCTGTTTAAGAAACTTTGTTTTTAGTTTTTCACGTTTTTTCACGCCTTTAATGTTGTTAAAACATTACATTGAATAATTTTGAATTCGGTTACCGTAGACTGTGTAATGTTAGATATTATGATTCATCCTAGTCATTATTTATCACGATTAATCTAGAATCAATGTTAGTCCTCTTATTTGATCTATATTATAATATTATTTATACTGTTAATTCATTTGCTGCTGTGAACAAAAGCGTGCAAAAGGATAATAAAACAAGAGTTTCAGAGACTGCAGATCATTATGAGACTTCATGGGTATAGATATTTTGTGTACTTAATCATAAAAGAATAATATATAGATATGTGTTCTAAGATGATGGGCTTGTTGGATGTTAAATGTTTACAGGCTCAGCATAGTCATTGAATTCAAAGTATTTAAAGACTTTGTTTTTGGAAATGAAAAAGTCTTGCTTCTTTGACTGTTAAGAGTTTATCAGAAAATACTTGTTTCTAGCAAAGTCACTGATATACAGTACAAAAAAGTGAATTTACTACCCCAAATAGAGCAGTAAAGTGGTGCTCAGTAGTCACTCACAGGTGCACACCCATCAGGTACATTTTAATGTTCGGTGTTTGAATATTATTGATCGATTAGTCCAAATTATAAATTAATTGCTTTTACGCGCGTATAATATATATTATATGTAGAATAACAGTATGAAATATTTCATCCCATTATGAACATAACTGAGTGAGTCAAATCACCGCCAAGGTCGATATAATATTGATTAGTGCTCTGTAACCCGCCACGCCGTTTCAGTGTGAAAATAAAGGTGTGGGATGTAGAAAACCACGCAGTAGAAACTTTTCTCGCGGCTTCGCTCTCTTGAAAACCGAGCGCGGATCAGCTGTGACCTGTTCGTGTCCCTCCAGCTTACATGCAGGCGGCGCGCGCTCTGATGGTGGGGGCCTCCATTCTCGGGCTGCCGGCGGTGGCGCTCGTGCTGATGGCCATGCCCTGCATCAACCTGGGGAGCGAGCCCGACTCCGCCAAGCACAGGCGCGCCGTGCTGGGGGGAGTCCTGCTGCTGTGCATGGGTGAGCCCGCATGTCCTACACCAGGGAGCAGACGTTTCACTGAATACGTCGCCCGCCTGTTACATATGGTATTATTAACTGAAAATAAAATAAAACAACAACAACTATAATAGTAAGACTAACAGCAGTAATTTATTTTGTTCACGTTTATTTTGTAATTCATGTTATTCTTATTACTGTGTATTATAATATATAACTTATCATGTGTATTATAAGTAGTTTGTATTACTGTTATTAGATCAACTATGATTAGAATTACTATGATTATTTCTAAATAATAACCTATACAGTAGAGCAGAGATAGTGATACCAGTTCCTGTCTCTTCTCTACTTGATTTTTACGAGAGGATTTTTCACTATGAGCTAAGAAGTACTATTTCTGGAAAACGAAATACTTTTTTTAGTCTTTTTTTTTCTTCCAGAAACATTCAGACCAGTGAAATCTACCAATGGGTGGTAGAGTGTAGTGACTAACAGTTTGCAGAAACAGTTTGAGTCATATGAAAGCCATTGATTGAATAACTACTTTGAATATATCGTTAAAATGTAATTCCTTTTCATTGTTTTCTGCAGCTGTTCGGGAGGAAGGGCTGAGCAGCCTCTTTCCTCTTCTGGCTGCAATATCAGCTCTGAAAGAACCTTGAACTTTACAGCACTAGTTCCATGTTACTGATATACAAACTGCCCGAGAAAGTTTTACATGGGAAAAAAATCCCCAACTGCAATTAAGTCTATCCCTCTAAATTCAATTACAAATCCAAATTAAAAAAAGATGAACTTAATAGCTTGTTGGGGGTGGGTGGGCCTATTTGGCTTCTGGACTGTTGTTTTCTTATCTCCTAGATATTTGCTGTAGTATCATGTCAGTATTTCCCAGCAGTGTAGTTTCTCCCCAGTGTGTGTGTTTCAGAAGTCGTGAGCTCTAGAACACTCATTGGTGCTGACAAGTGCTGTGTCTTTCTGTCGTTCTCCAGGGCTGTGTGGAGTCGTATCTACGGTCTGGTTCCCCATTGGGGTGCACTACGAGGTGGGCCTGATGTCCTTCGGCTTCTCCCTGTACGCGGGCTGGGTGGGATCAGCTTTCTGTCTGCTCGGGGGGCTGATGATCAGCTGCTCCTCAGGCGGGTCCACTCGGCGCACAGAGGAACGCTTCTACTACTCCAAACAGGGAGCCTCCAACCCCAACCCCTCCTCCAACCACGCCAAAAGTGCGCACGTGTGAGGCCAGTGTACAGCCAGAGGCCAGGACCGAAAAGTGGCCCTGGGGAACCCCCAAAGGCCAAAGAAATGTCCTTCCACCTGTCACGATGACAATGTCTCCGTGGCATAATGGATTATATTTTTTAATATGGTGCGTGAGGTTAAACCATTTAATAATAACAAAATTCCTTGCATTTGCTTTAGCGCTTTTCATCCCAAAGGAACCCAAGCGCTTGAACTTTTACCACTTTGAAGATCATTTGAACACTATCGGGTTCCAGGACCCACAGTCTAAGGGAGAAGAGCCATCCAGCATTCCATAAATATTCATGCTCATTTGCTGTTTTCACCTGATGTAAGCACTGGTTAAGAGACTATTCACAGATTTTAAATGGGAAATGTATTTTTTATTTTTTCTACAATAAAGAAAAAAAACTGGAACAGAAATGTTGATCACAATACTTAAATGTCTGTCTCTCTGTATATATCAGGTTTCTGTCATTAATATATTGTAGTATGACTAATTCTTGAAATATTCAAACTTCAGTGCTTAGCTGCCAAATTGTCACACATGTAAAAATTGATTTCTCATAGCACTTAGAAATGTGGTACAGTTCGTGCCCTGAAAACTAGTGAATTAAATTTGTGTTCAAAGCAACAAAATGACTTTGGTTATCAATACATGATGTGAGAGCAGTAGCCAATAACCTATTATTATACAATATATTAAAACAATTATAATCTAATTATATATTATATAATAATATAATATATAATTATATAATAACATAGGTAACCCAGAGACAGCAACACTTCAGCAATGTCATAACCGTGACTGTACGAAGTATTTCATGACATTTGCATTTATACTCTTGATTATTTATTACCATACAGGTCTCTGCTTTTGAATTGCTACTAAAAATCCCATCGTTGTTGGGAACCAGCTCCTTGCATTACCTTCATAAATGTTTCATGGGTGTTTAACTTAAATAAATGTTTATTTCAGTTTGCTTTGACTTTCAGTGTATTTATTTGGAAAACTATATAAATTATATCAGTAAAAGATCAGTCCTGTATTTGTCCTCCTATTATTAATTTGTGTGAGTGACATCTTTTTTCAAAGCAATTTCTATTTGTGCCCATTTAACCTTGTGTACCTTGTGTACCTTACTCAAGGGACCAACAACAATACCCTACCCAAGATTTGATCTCAGCCTTCCAGTTATCATGCCTTACTCAGCTACTCCACAATAAAACCTCTACTTCTGTGTAGCCAGTATTGACATTTGATTAATGTTCCATGTATCATCATTTCTGCTATTGCATTTTAACATCATAATAAAGTTTGCATAATGCATTATGTTGTTGTTGAACAGAACAAGCTATATGATGCAAAGGTGGGCAGTATGCTATTCTATCATCTTAGATTAATAGATACTATCAAGCAGCTTGTTTTCCAAAATTTGGAGTGTTAAAAACTCAAAATTGTAATATGTTTGAATATATAGTAGGAGTTTTATATTTAATAATATACTTTTTAAAAGTTTGTTTTCAAATGACTGCACAGTTCTACTACAGTGTTTGATGAATTGAATGCACTTCTGCATCACAGTTATATGAGCTGCGATGGGTACCATCTGTGTATTGATTACTGAGCTGATACAATATAAGGAAAGAGAACGTCTATTATGGTTTATTTAGCATTTGGTGAATGTCAACAGGCATTGATTTAGAGTAAACATCATCGAAGAGCCATAAAAAAAAGATTTATGGCCTTTGTTTTGCTTCTTTCAGTACATAATGAGTCCTGTACTTCTCTGAACAATACAAAGCCCACATGCAGTACAGAAAGCACTGTTTCACTGAAGCTAAACTGACTATATATCCACAAAGCTGTGAAGGGCTGATGGGGGCAGGGCTGTCTAAAGAGACTTCTAATTCCTCCTCCTGGATCCATATATTTCAAATTAGAAGCCATGGACAGATGTTTCGCCCTTATTAGGGTTCATAATTCATAGCAACTGTACCTGCTCTTGAAACACATCTAGCTCACTAGCAGCCTGTCTGCCTGCTCCTAACGGGTTGACATTTTAATCAAAGCATTCTTCAAAAAGACTAAACATTTTCAAATGCTGCACACCTTCCCCACCTCTCAAGTTATTTGTGAAAGGCCTCTCAATTTTCTCACTTGTAATTTTGGATGGACTGGTTACTCCATACGCCTTGAAATGCTGCCCCTCCCTCCCTAATCCCTAATCCAGTAAAACCATTCAGGGTAACATTTAGTGCACTGTCATAAAATATACATTTCTGGAAACTAAAAGAAACAAAAAATCCTGCCCCTGCCATTGACATCGTTTGGAATGTAATCACCTCTCATTAAATAAATGATTACAACAGAAAGACAGGAGGTGACATTCTCACCTGTCAAGGAATGGTCTGCTCAGAAGGCTGCAGGTGTCAAGCCCTTGGTGTGGTTGCTTGTCACTCTTGGCTGGGCATCTCGCTGTGCAGTTGGCTGTTCCTGCTTGTTGAGGTGTGGTTATTGCCTAAAAGCAAGACCCTTCTACCAGGAATGAACCCCCTAGGTTCTGGTCCTGGGGTCAGGAAAAAAATGTTCAAGTGCCAGCATGCCAACTGGGCAGCCCCAGAAACAGAAAGGACTCAGGATGAAGACAAACTGCCTGAAATACTAAAAGATAATAACAACAAGAAGAAGGAGAAAGAGAAGGGTTGGTCAGGTGTGAAATGTGCAGGGCACAACTATAACAAACCTAGACCTCCTATATAATGTTTTAGTTCCACGGCATTCACAGGAGAGCTGGGCATTTAGTGTTCAAGATAATTTAATCTGCTCCCTTCATCCTCCACCTTTTCTGTCTTAACACACACACTGTGGACTATGCCATTGGGACACTTGAACAACATTGTTGCAGCTGCATAACAGTGTCTTTTTAAAGAAATCTGAGGCACAACCTGTTAAAAGTTTGTTATCAAAACACTACACCTGTCTAAGCAGTCACAACTAAATACTGTGTGGTACACCAGTAAAATGTCTACTCTCTCTCTCTCTTTCTCTCTGGATGTGTTTAAAGGTGAACGGGGATAAAGAAAGCAGAAAAGCAGAATTGAGAAATATTTGTTTTTTGTATTTGGTCCAGGAACAGTTTAGCGTTTATCTTTACCTGACTCTCAAGCTTATTTGAATACTATAAAATACTATATATTACTTACAGCTACTGCAGTGTGTCAGAATATTGTACGTTTTAAGAGCAACATTCTGTTCTCTGTGTAAATGTAATTGCTATGTAAAATAAATGATCAAATATCTTCTTCACACTCTTTACAGATCAGGAATCTCCCAGGAAAAGCTTGTTTTGTACCATTAAAGAAATCCACCATGAGAGGAAATTGGATTGTGTCTAATTACAGTGACTAAGCTCTTGATTCCAGTAAAAAAAAAAGAAGACTGACACTAATACCGACACTAATCCCTATGGATATGTTTCTCATAACATCTAAAGTGGGAGAAGAAATTAGAATATGTTTACAATTGATGCAAATAACATGTGGATATAGGTTACTATTTAAAGTAATTTCAGTTACTGCTGAGTCTGGACATCTAATTCTATATTCATGCCAGACTACACACAAACATGCTCAGAATTTACCTCTATGAAAAAACTGAAATGTGGTAAACCTATTACTACGTATTGTAACTGTCATTCTGAGAATTACGCTGAAAATGTTTTTTTACTCTATATATTCAGATAGCTTATATCAGATAGCTTTTTCACTGAGTAATTCATTACAAAAGGGTGGACAAAAAACAAAGACCTGAAAATAATTTTCAAACTTTCCCTTATAGTGATTTTACATTTCTTGGCTGATAACACTGCCTGAAGCATGATGAATGGTTTAAAGTGCGTTATGGAGCACCTGAGTAATTGTCAACCAGTGAGTATCCTGAAAAACAAGTTCAGATGGAATTCTACAAACCTCATTTGCGTTAGAAAGCTCTTTAGGTGCAGAAAAAGAAGTTTGAGGATGTGACTCAAGATGCCTCTGCACAGGTCCCAGTCATTAACAGTCATGGATGATGACCATTAATAGTGGTTGTGTGGCACAGGATTAGGCCATGAGCTTCTCTTTATGTCTTTTCTTCACAAGGTTTTGCTTTACAATGTTAATTCAATGAAAAGCATTAAACTGGAGAGACAATACCCCTCACAGTTGACATTGCACTGCTATAATCATGTTCATTCCAGGTGGGAAGTTTTAACGGGAGTCAAGTACAGTAGTCAAGGCATGCTATCGCAGAAGAAGAAAGACAACTTGCCCGCTGTTTGCATTTAGTAAAATATACACAGGAAGTATTTATTTTAAGTGTCTTAAATCATGATATATTTTGTCATCAGAGCAACAAAAACAAAATAAGAGTCACCGTATAGTATATCTGCAATAAATAACTTTCATTGTTGCATTAGGCAATATCAGTAATTCATTCTACACCAAAGGAGCAAACCACACATGTAGAATAAGCAAACCATAATACAGGAACATCATACCAGAAATGCAAAATATACACCAGAAATAGAAGTATTCAATTTGCAGGATAAGCCAGTCTCAAACAAAGATAAAAAAACTGGAATGACTCAAATACAGTATACAAGTCCAACTGGATACTCCTCCCCCCTCCCCCCCGGAAAGGAAATAAACAAATAGTAGCTGACTTTAAAAGCAATAGTGGCAACATTTGTATTCTCTTTTTTTGTAATATCGTATCTGTAATAAAATAGTCTTTACACCTTTTCAGGTCTGCTAATCAATTCTACGTTGTTTCGTATCATCTCCTAGATCTACGTTTTGCAATCTTAAAAGAAGAAAAAAAAAGTCTTGAGCCTTAGAGCTCAAAAGGCTTCCTTAAAAATATAAATATATATATTTGTCACTGCTTTGCAGAAGTCAGCCCCAGAGATTCTGCTCAAACAGCTTGAATGAACCTGTGTAAAAATTTGCCCATGCCAGGCAAGAATATTACCCTTTCTGAGGGAAGACAGCATCAGAATTATTATGAAACACCTGTAAAAAAATACATCTTTATTTTTTGTGTCCATACTGTCATTCTAGAGGAATCTAATGGTGAATTTGTCTAGGTACAGTAAACAAAACAAAAAATTGCAAACTTTGGCTTGCCTTGTAAACAGACTAATGCAGTATGGGCTCTGAACTCTCTCAAGAAGCCCTTATTTACTGCATTTATTTTAGATACATATCTTTTAGTAGCCAGACATGCAACATTTCAAGGAAACATCTATTCTGTACTTTGTGTTTACGAACATGCTACAAATTCAACAAAAGTCCCAACTGAAGTGGTTATTCCAAATGCAGCTAAGCACACACCAACTGAGGCCCCAAACAAGCACTTTTTAATAAGTTTTGACCAAAATCCTTGTCTCCCAATGGGTATATGATCAACTAAAGCATAAATATTAGTATATTAAAATAAAATTCAAAAGTAAAAATGCTTTTAGATGTTCTGTTTTGAAAAAGACTGGAAGCGACAACTATCATTAAAATACAACGCAATGTATATCACCTCCGGCATTTTCTCTCAGCTCTGCCTTGTGTGTGGTCTGTCTTTTTTCAGTGCTAACAAGTACTTCAGAAAGACATTTTATAATATTGATTGTGACTTATGAAAACAGTTACATAACATCTCCTTTTACTAATGAAAAATGGAACAGGGACTGTTCATTCTACACTGAGGTGTTGCAATAGCTTGCTATGTATCCTGTGGGATGTGAACATTTAGCAAAAACGTGCCGGGTAGTTTTAAATTGTGTACTACATGTATATGGGGTAATGAATATAAATTAGTGATATGAATGTAGTGCTCTTCAAATATTAGAATTCCTTAAGGCTTCCCTGACTACGACAGGGTTGTGGTGCATCAGAGTCACTTCAGGGCCTCATCTGGTCTTGCTCAGAACCACACAAACTCCGAGAGCCAGACATGACACACAGAGAAACAGGTAGGTGAGGCTGATGGGAAAACACCTTAGCCACAGAGATGAAAGTACAACAGGACGCTGCACTCCAAAAAAGCATTCAGCAAAAGCAAAAGGGTACCCATTCATGCTTTCCGTTTGTTCTGTGTGTGGTTTTGTTTTCTCTTTAACTCATTTAAGAGGGGACATCAACAAGCAAATGTAGGTTTGATTACATACATTACATGGAATAGCCTGCTTGCAAAGGTTGAGTTCATTCACTGTTACAGATGTAGAGCTAGAGATGAGAGGTACTACATGACAGACAGCTGCACAAAGAAACCAGTACAAAAATTACACCTGATAGACTCCCCTGCCTTTTCCCTTGACACAGTATAAGAAATCTATAATGGATACTGGGAACAAGTTAAAGCACACTTTGACAGATGAAGGCACTATTGCAAGCAAAGTCCAATTACTATTTGTTTTCACATATACCCTTGGGCTAGATCTCATGTGAAGGCAGGAGAAGAAAAGTATTTTAACTTTCCTTTATAGTAAGAAAAAAATATATAGGGTTCTTATTTTGGTGCACAAAAAAGCCAAAGAAAAATCTGAACTTCTTCATTCTTTAAGTGTTTCAAAATTCCAATCAGTTGTTTCTCCACTAAATATTGTCTACCATAAAGTAACCATCTATTAAAAGGATCACATGAAACTTCCGGAACTGCATGATTAGTGTTGTAAAACATGAAAATATATGTAATTCTCCAAAGGGTAATCAGAGCAGGTTTAACCCTCTTCAAAGTTCAGGATACTCTGTAACTCTAATTAAAATATATACGGTCAGAATGAAATTTTGTGTTTCTGAAAACTTGAGTTTTCATAAAATAAGGTTTGTTGCTTGAGCCTGCCACAAATTGCATGATTCCACATACAACATCTGTAGACTGCTACACTTTCTTAATTCAGGTTCCCAATATTCTGACATCTACTGCAATTAATGCAAGTTCATTACCTGTCTGCTTTCAGACAATTTGTTTTCTACAGGTACCTGAGCCAGATACTGTAACAGGAAACCACCCAGATTCCACCACTGGAAGAGTATCCTGCCAATGACAGTCACAGGAACAGGAAGAGCCTGGAGGAAATTCCTTACTAGAGTACTCTGAGTCACCAGATTAAGCAGAAAAATACAAACCTGTACTGTTCCAGATATACACAAAGTTTTCAAGAACTAAGGTTCCCTGGACTAAAGCATAAATTAAAGAATGAGTAATCCCTGAATAATCCCTTCTTGTTTTTAAACAACAATGATTTTGTTTTACAACCCCATTTTCTTATCTTGTGGTTACTCAGTAATAGACCTTCCAGGTGGCAAATGCAGGCCACTTAAATAGCACAAACTAATGACGAAAAAATGGAAATTAAATACGACAACATCACTTTAAAATAGAAAGCTGACATTCTAGCCCAAGGGTTTCTGCTTTAACAGATCCATTCAGATCCATTCTCATTCCGGTGAGTAATCTAACTCGTCGTCCGCGATCAGGGCCTCAAACCCCTTGCTGGATTTCCCTTTGCTTTTAGATTTACTACTTTGCGAGGTCCTGTTGTGATCTACAGCGTCAGGCATGGCCTTCTGCTGGTACTGGTAACCCCTGTCCTGAGAGGGACCCCAGTCCTGGTACTGCCCACCCTCCTCCTGGGGATAGGAGAAGCCATCGTCCACAGTGAAGCTGTCGTCCACATCCATGTCATAGCGTTGGTAGGTGCTCTGGTGAAGAATCTCTTCTCGGGCGCTGATCTCCAGCGTGCTGTTCCACATACCATAGCCGAAGTATATCAGTACACCTGCAGAGGAGCACAGACAGATACACACACACAGAAGAATGGTGAATAGCTACGCTTGTAATTTACTTTCATCTACTTCTATGATTTATTCTGTCAGAATAGGATATCCTGTATGCAGTGCTATATCCAAGAGTTTATAGTCTTGCACTGTCTCGAATATATCCAGCTTTACAGAGTAACTCAAATAGTTTGTCAGGAAAAGAAAATGTTAGGCAAATCCCCACTCCTCTTTTGGAAGCAGGTTAAATCTCATTTTAGCAGAGATTTATCCAAAATCTCAGAAAAGGATTGCTAGTAAAGATGAAAAGCATTATTATGTAGTTAACATGTATCTTTAGAAGGGCAACATGAAGTCTAACTATAGAAAATACAGTCTGAATATCTTTGATTCACTATAACAGCATTGCTGTTAAATAAGGATCTTGAAACATAAGGCAATAGTATTTATACATAGATCATTTTCAGATTATATCAAAAAACAAGGTAGATTTACTGTGGCCTTGTTCTTATAAAACACTTTAGTAAATTAAACTTCTTTCCATTGCCAAATAATGCCAAACACTGCAGTCCAAATGGGAACTTAAAATGTTTCTTGTTATTGACAACTTTAACTATAACATAACTTGAATTTTTGAATCCCTTCTGGTGAGACTTTATTGTGAAGTTCTGATTTTTTGTAGGGTGACAAACAAAATATCTTGGTCTTGGTCTAAATTAATTTTAAAGGATATTTAAATATCCTTTAAAATTAATTTAGTTTTTAAAATGTCCTTTTCATTATTACCAGATTATATCTAGCGTGGTTTTGCGTCACCATCTTCGGAGAATATTGTTACTATGCAACCCAGAGACCAATAATTCCTAAGCAGATGTATTCCAATTGCGGCCTGAGGATTTATTCATTTGAGAAATAAAATATAGCCTTCATCTTTAACAAACCTGTAAAAGAACTGTAGGGCTGAAAGAAAAGTTACTTCTTACTTTATTTTAACCAATTTAAAAAGGAAAAATTGTGTCTGTATACTGTATTGTTTGTGTACTCATCAAGGCTAGATAGACCCCGTGTGACTTGGAACAAGTAAGTAACAATCAACCACAGAGCAATTCTCCATAATGGCCCATAATGAATTACTGACATTTAGACTGTTTTAGAAATCACTATGTTCTGGGTAACGTGACTTACATTTCACTTTTCTTTGAGTACCTGGCAACTTCATATGCTGTATTATTTTTTTTAAATTCTCCTGTCGTCAGGGCTTATCCTATGAACATAGTACATTTCCAAGGCTAATGGGACAGGACATGTCTGTCAACCGCTCACTCACCCACAAAGCACCACACTGCAAAGCGGATCCAGGTGATGCTGGAGAGTTTGAGCATGAGGTAAATGTTGACAAGCATAGCAAAGGCAGGGACGAAGGGGACACAGGGAGCCATGTAGGGAAGCTTCTTGGGATTCTCCGGTTGCTGAAGGATGACAAAGACCAGGGCGCAGATGAGCAGGACCATGAGGACTACCAGGAGCACGGCCCACCAGCTCTGATCCGAGATGTAGTCAGCCCCAAAGATGATGAAGGAGCAGAAGATGAAGATGAGGATAAAAAGTAGCAAGACACAGGTGGTGACGGTACGGCCCGTGGCGGCAGTGGGCCGGTCCATCTTGCTGGGGAGGCCCAAGCGGATCCTTAGGGTGTAGTAGCGGGGCCCGATCAGCTTCTTGAGCTTGATGAGATAGATGTTCTCAGACTCGTCGGCTTCTATCCCCGAGGTCATGTCCACGGTCCCGTAGTTGGGGTGGTTGGCGTTGTACGCAGACTTATCCGACTTGCCAATCAGCATCTCGTTGTCTCCCAGTGAGGGCAGGTTCTTGGCCCCGCAGGTGTTGGTGGGTGGCCCTCCGTACTCCTCGCCCTCACTGACAGGAGAGCAGATCTCTTTCTCGCACTCGGCCAGGATCCCCTCCTTCTTCTTGGTGTTCTCCTCCGACAGGAACTTGACGAAGCCGTCGATGTCGCTCTCCGGCTGGTAGCGCAGCAGCAGCACGCACACGGACACCAGGGTGTAGGCCAGCAGGGTGCCGATCGACATCATCTCGATCAGGTCCCGCAAACTCACCAGCAAAGACAGCAGAGCTGCTAGGAATCCAGAAACCACGCAGGCCACGGCGGGGGTCTCTGTGTAAGTGCTGACGTGAGCCAGGAACCTGAAAACATTCATCAGAATGGTGAGCTGCCTTTCGGTTCTTCAAGGCGTGACGAAAGACAAAAACGATTCTGTTTCAGAGGTCCTACGGGCTTCTAACAAAATCAACGTCACTTCTCAGCCATTACTTTCTTCAATTATTATTGTGTCCTGCAGAGCTTTTTGCAATCTTTCGTGTTTTATACCTCGGTTTGGAATTACTTATAAACACAGAAACATGCCAGTCTCAGCAGCAGAGTTTAAACTCACCTGAAGAGCAACCCATCTCCTGCCATAGCGTATATGACTCTGGGCATGGGGAACAGGGAGCCCAGCAAGCTGACGGTCAGCCCAGCGATGGAGCCAATAGCCACAATGTACTTGGCAGCCTGGAAACCATGGACTACAAACATCTCCATGAGGGGGGACTCAGCATCAATGTCATTGTAGGGCACCATCAGAGTCAGAATCACACTCACCTATAGAATGAGACCAGACAGACAAATAAAATTGGCACAGCCTGTACCAAGTTTGTATAATGTAAGTTACTTGAAAAAATCTTTGCTGCTTGAATATTTAATGTATTTTGGCCACAACAGCTAATTTAAAAAAAAACCCAAATACAATACATTGCAGGAGGCATTATAGGTCATGAGGGAATCCCTCTTCAAATGATTGCTTTCAGACTGTATTATTGATATGGACAAACACAACAAAAAGAATTAAAATCCAATGATTTTTGCTATTAAAAGCCATCATCCTTAATTTAAATGTCTTCTGAGGTTTGAGTTTTTTTATTTTTAACTGATTCTTTCCTGCTTTTTTCCATCACGATTAAAGCACTAACGGCAAAATGAGGCACCACAGGCAGATTGCCACAGCGGGGTTGCAAGCTCACAGATGGCATTATGTCGGTTGGTCACCGTGATGACAAACCAGAAAAATGCTGCTCATTTTTGCTGAATTTGGGGTTCAGGTTGCTTAAACTATGACTCTGGACATCTCAGCAAAAATGTTGAATCTTTGCTCAATTTGGATGCCAGTGATTGCAGAGAGACCATAACAAGCCTTGGCGCTGTCTTATTAGAGTGATTTCAGCCTCCAGCACTTTCATAGTCTAACCTCCTGATGAAGCATCACACTGCAGATACCATATCAGGTAACTTTATTCAGAATCTTTGAATGACATGATAATGTCTTAACCATCCCCTTCTGCAGAACCTGGTCTCTTCATCTTATCTGTGCTGTATGGAGTGCTTTTTCAAAACACTTTAAATAATTGTTTTGTGAGGCAGGAATTCTCCATCTGTTCATGGGCTCTGTTGGGCAGTGGGATTAGGATTGAAAGATTATGAAATTTAAAGTAGCAACAGAATAAAAACAAGCAGAATTTTGTCAGCAGCAGGAACAAATCCTTACACTTCAGAGATGAAGCAAGGGAAGTTTTGGTTTAATTAAATTGTACTGAAAATACAAATTATGAGTCACAGTAATTTAACAAAAATAATCTGATATGCAAAAATCAAAGAAAATGGCTCACAACATGATACATGTGAACTCAATTCTAGATTTACAAGAATCTAGGATTTATAGCTAGTTTAAGAGATGTAAGGAAAATGATCTAATTGCAGCCAAGACAGTTTTATAATTTTAGGAGGTAAGGTGAAGACAGACCTACTGAAATTACACCTGGATACATGTATGTGCATAAATTACATTTAGTGTATACAAAGTGTAACAGTGTTGTTAGAAGATTTTTCTCATCTTTGTGACTTGTTTAATTAGCCCCCTTTCCCCTTTAGTGCAAGAATACCCTCTAAGATCCTTCTTTGTATTGTGAGACATATTTGGGTTAACATATTCAGTATTTTGTATGTGGTAACTTGTTTAGCATGAGTAAAGTCTTGTTTAATCTCTGACCCAGGGAAAAGTGCGGTGTAGACAGTTGAGGAAAGAACAAAGGTTCACGCTGTGTCCGTTATTCTTTTTTCTTTTTCTTCTTTTTTTGGTCGTCTAGTTTTTTTTTTATCAATAATGTTTGATAATCAGCCAGTGAAAGCTCCGTTTTCCTTCAAATGAATGGCAAAAAGCCTACACCGAACCCAGGATTTTGCAATAGTCTCTTTCTATTTTTTTGCTGAATTTCGATGCTGTAAAATTGTTAAAAGCAGAAGTGCTGGGAAAGAGTCAGAAAATGAATTAATCGGCACTTTCCAGGTACACTTCAAGGACCCTATCTTCTGCTCCACACTGCTGCCCAGTTCCAGGTCCTGGAGTGGAGGAAACGTGGCTGGACATGCCGAGACAGAGAGACGTATTGTTGTCTTTCTCACAGCCTGGGACCTGTCAGCTTTCCCGTGTTTGTACTCTGAATTGAGTCCTAGGCCTCCTCGAGTGTGGGATTCTCCCGTTCCTCCTGGTAGTCTCCAGCTGCTTATTGAACAGTGCATCCACCTTCTCATGGAAGAACCACTTTTTTGCAGCTGTCAGGATGCTCCATCAGTGGCACAAGATGTAAATCACGAGACTGAGGACTAAGCTTAAATGAGGATTTACAGGATTTTTTTTACTGTAAGAAACAGTAAACATGTATGATCTCACACTGATCCACAGATGTTTTTGTAACAGAACAGCAGGTTCTCTGCAGCTGTTAATACGCAATCAGCCTGCCTTGCTGCCTTAATTTACAGCACATCAGCTTTATCTCAGAAAGACATTAAGTTGATAGCAGATTTTCACAGCTATCGAGTTTCCTTGGGGATCGCATCTCCATGAATGCCTCCAGTACCATATGAGACACACTTGAGTGTGTACACATTTCCTCTAAAAGATACATAGATCTTAATTAAATCTAAATTCAGTGTAAAGCTACATTCAAATATTTAATAGGCTGAGTTATGCACAATTTCCATGAGAGGTGCTGTGGGGAAACACTGTGCAGACCTCAGAGGAAAGGTTAGGTAGCTGAGATATATACTCACGGAGACATAAGCAGTGAGACAGGTGACAAGAGAAGCTGTGATGGCATAGGGGATGGAGGTGTTGGGACTCTTGGCCTCCTCTCCTGTGGTAGCGATGATGTCAAACCCAATGAACGCATAGAAGCAGGTGGCTGCCCCTTGCAGAACCTGGAAAACACGTTGCCATAGTTACCTTGCTGTCAGGCCTTTGCTTCATATCGGGTTGAATACTTAAGAGACTGTAGGGATGAGTGTGAAAGAAAGACATGTGCAGAAGTGTTCATTCTGGACCTCTAGGAAAGACAGTTGAATAAAAACAGGATATCTTGTCTATCTAGTCACCTAGTTCTTTGCTGTCCCATTTTCTAAACAGAAGTAGATCAATCATTCCGCAGCTTTTTTAGGTTTGCGAAGCATTTCAACATTTTAGTTAAAGTACATATGTGCACATACACCAACTATAGTTTGTAATCTATGTTTAATAACATTTAAGAACATTTAAATCACATAATCACAATAAACTGCTTTTCTTGCTAATATGGCAATCACATATGCTAAACTTTCCACAAAAAACTCAGCATAGTGTGTATAAGCAGAATTGGCCTATTCCTATGATGAGAGTTTCAAAAGTCAAACAATACTGCATTTTTGGGGTGACAGCAGGACCACCTCCTGCATACAGACTCTAGTGTGTGACTTTTAAAAAGTATTTTTTTAAGTAGAACAGGCCTCAGTTGTTTAACTGAACTGACTCAGACATCTGGAAAGACATTAATGACTTCGATGGAATCAGTATTTCTCAGTTTCAATGCCAAGTACTGCTGGCTTGACTGGAGGAGGCAGAGTTGGAAAAACTCTCCAACGTTTGGTGTTGATGAGTTTTTATTGAGTTTTATTCAATTTGTATTACATCTATTATTATGTAACCTTAATTTTTTGTAACCTTTTGTAACCTTAATTTTGTGATTTTTGTGAGCTCGCAGAAAAGACATTTCATTGCCAGCAACTACTGCTGCACGCTGTATTGTTGTGCATTTGATAAATAAACTTTGATTTGATTTGACTTGATTTGCTTTTTAAAGTTAACAGCAGATCCACTGTTGAATTTCGAAAACTCACCCCTGACCAGCCATAAGGCAGGAACCTGCCGTTGTCCCAGTTTGAGCCGCTGACAAAGAAGAAGCCAGCGATCATCATGAAGACCCACACCACCAGGTTGATGACGTTGAGGACGTTGTTGAAGCCAACTGAGTTCTTAACCCCCAGCGCCACAATCACCGTCACCAGAATGGCGATCACCAGGGCTAAGAGGTCAGGGTAAGACTCCTCTCCTTTACCTAGAGATGAGGTGAACACAATGTGAAAGCCAGAGAAGAAACTGTCAATGTAGGGAGAGTGTTAAAAAACTGAAGTTCAATTATATAACACAGACCCAGAGGAAACACCCTCAACGTCTCAGAGCACTAAATCTGACAAAACCCACAAGGCCACCATCTTAAAAACTGAAGACACGCTCAGCCACAAAAAAATCACTTAAAGAATATTTTATTCAGCTTCTGTGAACAAAGACTCAGAGAACAAAAACACAAACCAGAAAAAAGATCCCACAGAGAACCTTTCTACTATTGGGAAGGATATGGCTTTGAAAACATTGTTTACAAAAAAGAAAAATCTGATTGATCTCTCATTTGAAATACTGCAATGATCCTTTGGGATATGTAATTCACAAATCTTTAAATCACCTTTTGGTTTTATATCCAAATTAATTTTGAGCCACAGAGATCAGAGGGGATGCTGCAATTAATGAATTCTGACACTTTTTATTACTTCTTTTTCACAGGAAAAGGAAAGAGAATTGCTTTCCCTCACTGCTCAAGGATGGCTGTCACATTACAGCGCATGTGAGCCCGGGGTCGTTTCTCAAGTGATAGTTCAGGAAATGTCTGGATGACAGCAAATTCCTATGCCTGTTGTAAATTATTGTAAGGATATGGATACAAGGAAATACACATAGTTATATTTATTTTTTACATAGTATAAACACTGGTAGCTTGCCTGGGATCGACTGAAGTGGAAGTTCTCTTTTGCCTCAAAGAAAGGTAATTGACAAAATGTTATCAGCTAATGGAGGACAGGGGATTGCCCAGACAAACCGAGCTTACGTGCTCAGTTCTGGTCAGGCACTTTCCCCTGGGATACAGTAGGTAATATTTTGACTGATGACTGAAGATTCCCATACCAACCAGATAGGATAAATAGCAATGGATGTATTAGCCCTGACTAACTCATAACATACTAAGGGAGCTATACCGGAATCTTCTCATCTGCATGCTCAGAATGTATTACATATTCCACCTGCAGCTCTGCACTGAAGCAGAGTACATTTGTCATTTTTAACCTCTGCTTAAAAACCGTAATTCAAAGCCAAGACAGAAAGAAAATAATTTGATCTGCATCATCTCTAACTCACGTACAAGCAGGCAGACCACAACACCAAATATTCATAAATATGAGATGCTAGCTTGAATGGAATCATTCGTCTTTGTAGACTTTAATCACCTCCTGCCCAAACAAACCCTCATTATGTCACATTCTGTAAGGTTTTTCATTTTCTTTTCGTAAAATGTTATTTCAGGGCACCACGCAATTTTCCAGCCACCACAGTAAAACATTTGATTCTAGCCTGTACCACAGCAGAAAGTTTTGATGGTTCATTTTCGAAGTTAGTAGATAATTATTATGTATTACCTTAAACAAATGAATCAGACTTCTCAAACGCCAGCTAACAACAAGCTGCAAGGGTTGTTGAGTGTTGCAAGGGTTTGGTAGGTTCCTACTGGTCAGAGTATCCTTACGACAGCTTGGTCTCCCAGCTGTGATTTCAGTGCCATCAGGAGCAGTTGCATCATTGCCCTCTGATTTGGCTCTGTTGTCGACTATTTAGACTCTCAGTTTGGAAATAAAAGCTGAGGTGAAACTGGAGGCCTGCTTATCATCTTTCTCCCTCTTGCCAAAGTGCAGACACTCTGATAGTGAAACAAGCTGACTGAGAACTGGCAACTCCCAACTAGTGGATAAATGACTTGCAATTAAAAATGCATACACAAGACATTTTAAAAACTGTTAATGAGGTATTGGGGGAATTTCATCCAGTGCAGAACTTTCTTTTTCATTTTGGCTTCATTTCACCACAGGACATACAAAAAATGTTTTATATTGTGAGTGTTATGCTTTCCAAAATAGTAACAAGAAATTTAGATAAGCACCCAAGCACTGTTCAAAAGGTCTGCTAATTGAATTTTGTGTAAGCCAGCTATTATACAGTGCTCATCCTTTAATCCCTGAAAACTGATTTAAACTGCATTTTATTGTGGAAAGGGGACCTCACATGAATGAGGACATCTGAACTCATCCCAAGCTATCCATTCCCTTTTCAATACAAAAAAATGCAAAGTGCACTCCACTGAGAGTGCAGACAGCTTTTAACACACACCTTTAATCACCTGCTGCTGCTGCCAGAATAAAGCATCTCTTTAAAAGCTGGAACTGTTTGCAGATTCAAAAACCACACAGGCACAAAAAGGAGCAAAGGAGACAGAAGTATGTATGTACAGTGAAAAGCTTATGAAAATAACCCAAATATTTTTATAGTAATGTTCTAATTCAGTGGGTCATTGCTAGGAGATCTCTGTAAAGGAATACACTTACAAACAAGTAAAGATCAAAGTGTCTCAGGAAAACCTTCAAATCTTGGAGACAGATGGAGAGTCCTATTAAAGAGTATTTCTGTAGTTTCCAAATGTCTGTTTCCTCTTTGTTTCCTTTCATAACATTACCGAGCTTTGATGAGCGTAAATTTCATATGCTTAAATTGATACCAGAGATTTTGTAACTGACGGAGATATTGGCGTAGAAAGCAAGGGAGTGCAGCATTCTTCCAAGCAGGTGTAACGATCCCAAAGCAACGCAAGGAACAGCCCGTGTGAGGAAAGGGAATCTTTCTTACCCAGCCCATTCAGAGTGCCGACGTTGTTGATCATGAAGCGGCTGATGCTGTGATTGGCCAGGGAGTCAAACATGCTGCTCAGGGCGCTGGCGCCGGCCGCTGTCCCAATCAGATACTCCAGGATGAGGTTCCAGCCGATGAAGAACGCCACAAACTCCCCAACGGTCACATAGCTGTAGGTGTAGGCGGATCCCGTCGTCTTCGGTACGCGGACGCCAAACTCGGCGTAGCACACACCTGAGGAAGAAATCGCAGTGAAAAAAAAGGAAAAAAACAGCAGTGACTTAAGGGTAAGACAGCTGATCAAGGAGTTTAGCTGAACATGGATGTGCTTTACATTTTGCAGGAGAACTTACATTATTAGTGTGCTTAAGGAAAATTTGTCTGACTATTGATTTAGGATAAAATGACCTCTCTCTGACACCTAAATAACATTTCTTGCTATTAGGTGGTAAGTATAATTGGGAACCTTTGAAAATGTCTTTTAACTTGCTTTTTGCCAAGGAAGAGTTCTAGTGTCATGATGTTAAATTAAGGCCAGTATGCATGACCTCAAACACCAATACAGCTGTTCCAATAAAGCTGTGACAAAGTTCTGCACATTGTTTGAACATGTAAGTGAAGAACTTGTCCTGGACAAATGCAGTACAGGATTTTAAAGCTCAAATCTCTTTCAACCTTCAACTGTTTTCTTATGTCCCGTTTACAATAAAAAGCAGAGAAGGTCTTCCTAAGCACTGTTGAAAAAAGCAAGTGTTGAAAAAAAGAAAGTAATTGGGGGTACATTAACAAGTGCATGAACACTGGATGACACTTGATTACACATAGCCTGCATAGGCTAAAACAAAATCATTTGCTCATTCAAAATACCTTTTTAAGTGGAACAATGGTGGTTAATATTGACCGGCCAAGCCATGTGAAAAGATTCAGTAATAAGGCTTTTGCTGAAGATCAGCAAATCTGAGTGTCACACACAGTCTATCTAAAGTGAATTAAAGCTCCCTTGACAAATGACCTACTATTAAACAGTTATCTATCTTGCAGGAGGGCTCTTGCATTTAAAGAGTGTTGATATTACCAAACTGAGTTTCCGAGGAGAAAGTGGAGTGATCTGTATCAGCTGTTCTGAGCTGCCATTAAAAAGGCTCTAGCAGGGCACTTCATGGTAGATGGAGCATGTTATAGTGATTGCCACATAATTGGGCAGGACAGGGAGGCAAATGCCTGAGAGCTTTCTTATTTACATGGAGCATCACGTGTTCCAGTAGGGGAAATTAAAATAAAAACCTGATAGACTCTACTTCAATTCTAGAGTGCAGGCTGAATTTCCTGTCCATAAATATAATGAGAAGCTTCAGCTAGATGGTAAGAGAAAATACATCAGAATTGTATATCTCTTGAGCTGATTTTGGGTTTAGTGTCTGTGTCTTTCACAGGTCACGAGTAGCCTTAAACTGGTATTTAAATGTCACCATAAATGAAGTAAAGCAAAATTGATACATTGCGCTTATATTTTAGAAAATGAGAAGAGCTCTTTTGAAGGAGAATATAATTACAGAGCTTATAATGTTCTGAGGTTATTCTGGTACCAAAAGAACATGCTGAGATTTCTGTGATCTAAATTTTAACCATTTTAAACGGTTATGAACATTAAATTGCAAAAGTAAAAGTAAAGTAAAAATATCACATACAAAACACACAAAAAAACCTTCTTAACAGATCTGTGATCAGTTTTAATTGTTTTGGACATTATTTAGATGACTTTTTCAAGACAGTTTTTTTTGTTATTTTGTAAGAACTTCTACAGACCTGGTACAAACAAATGGAGAATTCTACAGTTCAATGCTGTGGAAAATGGACTCAATAACCCTTCATTATCAGAAAACCACTTAAGACACTCCTGGTAAGAATCTCAGCAATGTGGGGGGGATTCCAAGAGCTTGGGGAGCAAAGCAGGACTACACTCTGGATGGGACATCAGTCCATCACATCGGTCCATCACAGGGCTCACAGGGCACACTGGCAGTTCAGAGACACCCATTATCCCAACAGATATGCCTTTCGAGAAAAACAGCACATTTGGCAGCGATTCCCGCGGAGAATAAGCAAACTCCACATAGACAGCACCCACCCGAAATCACACCCAGAAGCCACCGACTGTGAGGCAGCAGGAGAGACCGCCACATCATTGTGCAACCCTACATGACAACCAGCGGCACAGAACCGTTCACTCTTTACAGGCCACTCAAGAGAGCTACGGTACCTGACAGAATGGAGGCCACCGCGGCGATGATGAAGGACACGATCACTCCAGGCCCCGCCATTTCCTTAGCCACCAGGCCAGAAACGACATACATCCCCGTGCCCACGCAGCTGCCCACCCCCAGGGACACCAGGTCCACCGTCGTCAGCACTCGTGCCAGCTTGGTGCTGTGGGGCGCGCCGGCGCCCGCCCCGTCCAGCATCGATTCCACCGGCTTCGTCCGCAGGATGCGGGAGTGGAAGGCGTACCACGCGGCCCCCCATTGGATCCTCCGGGGGTCCAGCTTGGCGAAAACCCCGCTCATTTTCTACCCCAGTGGCAGGAGGCACACGGGGGGGTTGCGGGCAGTGGAGTGGAGAGCCGAGTGGATATCCGCTGCCGACTACGAAAGGAAAACGAGAGGCGCTCTCTTGGAGTCAAACGAGCTGCTGAGCGAAGGGTCCTCCGACTTCCTCACTTTCACAGGAGACACCCGTCAGCTAGGACCCGCATGGTGCGATGGGCCGTCCCTCTCTTTAATGACAGCTCTCTGGAAAACAAACAGGATGACATTAAGTGCTGTTAACGGCCGGCTGTCAACACTCTTTACAGCTTTTACAGTGGCAAGAGTAGGAACGGGCCCCGCGGATTCAATTACACCTGCAAAGAAGGGGTCGAAGAAGACGAAGATGCATTGCAGGCTGCCGTGAGCCCCGTTTTGAAAGTGAACAAAAAAAACAACACGCACGTGAAAGAAAGACAACAGACAAAAATATTAACTAGATCCAATAAAATCAAAATGCTAAAAAAATTAACTACTAAGCCCCAAAAGTTTTTGTTTTTCACATCAGAGCCAACACCGTTAATATGAACGGCAGCTTGCTACTGCTGTCTCATCGGCGCTACAGATAACTGCCTGACAATTACAGGGTGTAGAAGGCAGTACAGCTAAATCAATGGTTACAAAGAATCCGAATCCACATTTCTAATTAGTGGGTGGTAATTATGTGAGGTTGTGCTGAAGTTCCAAAAGCTGGACTAATAACTAAGGCATAGTGGACGCTTGCCTTTTTTGTTTTACAAAAATCCACACAAAACCAACATCATATGTGAAAATATTTTACTTTGGGTAAGACTTTACTTGAGACTTCCAAGCTGCGAGCTCCTGCCTAATTGCTAACTGCTGATTTCCAACCTACTCAATTATCATAATCAATTTTTGTGGTGTTGAAACTGCCAGCCTTCCATTATTTCAACTGATTGAACTCGGGATATCCAACCAAAGGGTGTCTTGTTAGGCCTGGGAGTAGCTCCATCTCAGTATGGCTTGCTCTGTTGGACCAGGAGCAGGATAGGCAATTAGCTGTATTTAAGTACCTGACACAATATGCCAGATTACGACAGTACTACAAATCACCTTACAGCTCACAACTAGCAACCCACCAAATCTCAGCAGGTGTGAGCCTGGTCAGTACCTGGATGGGAGACCTCCTGGTAAAGCCAAGGTTGCTCCTGGAAGAGGTGTTAATGGTGGCCAGTAGGGGGGCGCTCACCCTGCAGTTTTTGTGGGTCCTAATGCTGCAATATAGTGATGGGGACACTATACTGTAAAAAAAAGGTGCCATCTTTCGGATGAGACAGTAAACCGAGATCCTGACTCTCTGTGATCATCAGGGCATTTCTCGAAAAGCATAGGAGTGTTAACCTGGTCTCCTGGCCAAACTTCCCCCTGGCCTTTGCCAGTCATGGCTTCTTACTAATCCCCATCTATTAACTAGCTTAATCACTCTGTTCTCCTCGCCACTGAGAGCTGATGTGTGGTGAGCATACTGGTGCACCCTGGCTGCCATTGCATCATCCAGGTGGGGCTGCACACTGGTGGTGGTTGAGGGAAGTCCCAGTTACCTGTGAAGCTCTTTCAGTGGAGTGTCCTGAAAAGCACTATTTAAGTATCAGGAATTATTATTATTATTAAATGCAAAGGAACCACCAACTAAGGTCATTGCTCTCCTTCCTGATCCAAAGAACTGCAACCTGACTGAACTCAAACAGGAATCATTTTCAGATGAAGGAAAACAACACACTTGAAATTTAAAGGCAGAAGAAGCCGTGTAGCAGATTTAGATTTTTTTAATGCCTCATTCTTCTATCCAACGCCTCTATACATAAATACAGATCGCTCCCCCGTAGTAGATGATTTATCCATGTTGTTTTAGTAGGATTTAATAAAACCTCTGGGGTCTTAAATATTGATCATTTGCACCTGCTTCATTTGTAGAGCTCTAGATGAGTGCAAATAAAAGTAACTTTGCTAGATAGCACGAATCAACATTGAAATTAACCTAATATAATAACAACTAAGACTTTTACCTGTCTTAAAGAAGCACTGAAACAGCTCAGTAGAGGTCAATTTATTTTGATAACAGATGGAAAATGTACTTCTGTCATTAATTCTGAGCTACCAAAATCCTCCTAATTTAAAAGAAAACAAAGACAAATCAAAATATATCTAATTATAACCGTGTTGCACAAACCCCCTGTCACTATGGTAACCCTCTTCATTAGACTTGGAAATAGATCATTGCAGCAGCTCATTGCTGAAGAAGGCACACAGGCTTTGAAAATACATCAATAATAGCAGCACACCGAAACTTGAACAAAAGGGCTGCTTTTCATTCATATGATCCTTATTTTTCTGTAAGAAAATGCAGAATATGACAAAAAATGATGAAGTGTATATAAGAATATTCTCTTATAAACCAGAACGTTTGACTGATACCTTACTTAAACAAGAGAACAAAGCATCTATACACCTTCTCAGTACATAGCCCAGCAGTATGCACAAGTCTTCCAGCTGGGAATTACTTTTCAGGTAGTCAAGTGATGGAGATAAACCAGGGTACATGCTCTGTGCCTGGCTTTTAAACCCACACATCTAATTACAGACATTCACTAATTAGTACTGCTGTCAACTGAGAGAAAACGGAAATCCACAGATTGTGAAGTGCTGTGTTGTCTGCGTTGTAAATAATTAGTGGTATTTTGGATCTGCCAGAGCAAATAATTGTGCGTGAAAAAACTCAGCGGGTGTGTTTCCCAGCATTATCGTCCATATATGGAGCATTACTGTATATCCATGTATGGTAAAACCACTTAACCTCAGTGGGAAATTCACAAGTACAATACCTAATCAATATTTTAGATCATGAGAGCAAATCATATGACATTTAATGACTTCTCAGAGCTTTCGATTTCAGACATGTTCTCATTTTTCCTATCAAAAGCAAATACGCATGAATGAGATGCTGTCTGACAAGTTTGTGTTCAATTGTGTACAATTAGGAATAACAGTATCGTATTGTAGTAACAGGTGTATGCAAGTTTGTCTAGATTGATTAAGCTGAAGTATCTGACACACAAATTGTTGTTACCTGACAAATATCCAAAGTTGCTTTCCCACAAATTAATTAAAAGCAAGTCATAAGGTAATCTTTTCTCTGACTGTAATATAGCAGCTGCCATTTTACACTGAAAATACGTTGTGTCTGATCACACTTCCTCAGAGCATTCTTTATTTATTGATCATTCATTATTTGCAAAGTGCCTCAGCTCATGTCTGTGGAGGACAAGAGGTTTTTATAATGTTAATGAATATGCTAATGTAAACTTTAAAAGCATAAGACAGATATTAAAAATCTTAAGCTGCATGTCTCATCAGCCTATTGAGGATTTCTTTGCAATTTTAATTAGCAATCAATTACATGTAGAATAGGAAGCTTAGGTTTAATGCATCCAGTTTGTAGTACTGATAAAAACAATAATATAAAAGATTTCCTAACCATAAAGAATCAAGATATTTAATCATGCTACCATTATTTTTCTTAGAAATAACAGAATACCTACTGTATAATGATTCATGATGTGTTTCTTTTACATTCTTGACCTAGAAGGTGAACATTTTGCAAATGATAAAAAAATAGATCCAGGCACTGCAGACCATGAACAGCACAATTGTCTTGTGAGCCCCACACCACTCTATTTATAGACAAAAAGCAGATGGTCTACCTTAGCCTTTGGAACTGCTTCAAGATTAATTGATTACAATGTAAAGAAAAGGTCTTTATAGCATTGTATTGTAGCTCACATATCAGGAGAGAAGTAGATGATGTCAGGCTATGGTTTCCAAAAACCCTTTGATATTGCTAAATGCATGTTCTTGATAGGCTTCAGTAACTGTCATTGACATGGAGGAGAACAGAAATGAATAACATCAGTCAGAGTTCAAGGCACAACTGTGCTGAGAAGACCGGCACAGCAGTCAGCCTCCTTAGAGAGCAAAACTCTGATCTTTCACCCAGAAAATTAATTTCTGCTGAAGGAATGAAGAAAGGAACAGAAACATTAGTTGGGAAAATCTTTGCAAAAGTAACTGGTAATGGAAAATCCATGTGGCAATATAGCTTCAACACCTTTCAGTGACTTTTTCAGTATGGATGTATCCGAGGATGTCATTGCTGCTCTTGGCCATTTTGGGAGCCAGCAGCTAAACGTGAATGTCTTATTGCAAAGATCGGCATTGGAAACACAAAGAGGTGTGTTTTACAGGAGACCAGTTTGCTGTGAATGAGTGTTAGTTTTTACTGGTTGTAGGCAACATTGATGATCTGTCTGAACTTGCACAGATTTTTTAATAAGAAGAGCTGTTCTTGAAAAACATGCAAAATAATAACAGAAGGAGAGTAGCTAATAAGAATGCAATGAGAGCTCAGAAACATGATTAGTAATTTATGTTTTAGGTTGGGTTCACTGCATACACCATAATATAATCTCTGCAACTGTGCATTATGTCAATTCTTAACCTCAACTAATCTCATCCCCTTTTTACGGTAAACTCTCTCATAGCGAACATATTGAAATAAAGCACCTGCTTTCCTCCGTGATAGAAACACAGGCTAGCCACAAGGGAAAACATGCTTCAATTTCCATCAGTCTCAGCTCCTGTGGTATTTGTGTTGCGAAATAATGTGGGCTGTGTTTTAGACAAGAAAGAGAATTTACTTCTGCAAGGTTACAAGTGCATATCACCAGCACCTATCATCTGCCCCATCTTTGAGAATATTGAGAAATATTTCTATTTAAGCTAAGCCAGCAACAAGAGTGGGTGGATTCCCAGGCAGCATAATAAATGGGAAGCAATTTTAATGAGAGATAACTGGCCTTCCTGTAATTCACCTCTCTGCTGTTATGTTCTATAAGAATACAGGATGGAAAAATAGAGGATGGAAAAATACAGGAAAAAATAAAGGTAAAAAGATAAAAACACATGATGTGACAAAACACCAACTAATTTTGGATCACGAGCAGTCTTGTGAAATTTCTGAACAAACATTGGAACTTATAAAACATGGTTTAGAAACAAAGACAATTTTGGGAAAACAAAGACCATATGGCAATAAAACTGCCATATCTTCAGCACAATGTTTAGCATTATTGCATGCGTGAAAGGCATACTGCTCATCGATATCCTTGAGAAGATTTAAGGGGGCATGA